ACGTACTAAAAAGACTTTTGCAGTTTTGCCACTGTTTTATTAAGTTTCAAATTGCCACTAATACAGTGATGTTTTCGCTTGTTTTTGCACCACTCAACCCAGCTTATTTTCTGACTAGGATTAGATATCTCCTAAGTATCCACATTTCTTCTAGAATATTTTATCTTAAGGAAGATAATTCTCGGATAGCAGACTGCAACATTTTTGAGCAAATCTGGAAAATCTATATGGTGCTTTCATGACACAAAACATTTATAATGTTTGTGCAAAAGATTTCTATGGAATGCTCTTAATCACAGCAAGAAAGGCAATAGAAGTCATGAGTTGTTGTTGTTTTTTAAAAAAACCAGTAGTTTTATTTTTAAACTTATTGGAAACAAATGCATTTTTAAAAATAATTCTGGATATTGAAGATCACTTTTATACTGTTCTATAACATCATGGAGAAAAATGTACCCTGCAGAGAAGATCCAATAGCAATTAGAAGTACTAACAAATCTCCTCAAAAAAGGAACATACTTCTGCATACTGCATACGAGTTACAAGATTTCCAGGAGTACATGAGAGAAGCGTAAGAGTAGCACATCTTTTAGTAGTCAGAACATCTTAGTTACAATACTTTTTTTGTCTAAGATAAGCCAGATCCTCCACAAAACAGCCCTATTTAGCATAGACCCAGTATCATCTTTATCATCAAAGGTAATAAAAAATTCACCAACATTATTGCTATCCTGCAAACTTACTATGTGGAGATTTGAACACAGGGTTGGCAGAATGCAAAATCCATGAGAGGGCAATTGATTTCATTAAACATTTCCTAACTACACATACACTTTTTAATTAATATCCCAACCTTTTCTTAACACAAAAATATATTATAGGCAGATTTATTTATACCCAATCTTCAGAATGCAACACTCTCAAGTAAAAGTTCCTGCCAAGTACCCTGAACATTTAACCTGTCAAAGAGTTGATTGAAATGACTAGGACATAACAGGGGACAGATATGGCCAGGCAACTGGTTGCTCTTGATGTAACAAAATTGACAGTCATTATCCACCAATAAAAAAATATGTAACTAAAGAATAGCAGTCTGGGATATTTACATGATCCTTAGTACACTCCCATACTCCCATTTTCACTTATTCCACAAACTGTCTAGATATCAATAACTGGAGTATATACAGGCAAAAGCGTTCCAAATTAAATTTTCCTCACCAAACGTAAAGATCTTGCTTCTTTTTGGCTTCAAAAAATATGCACTTATTGCAATTCTTCATTTCACAGACCTATATAAAGCAAGAAAAACAATATTCAGACCAAAGAAGAGTATTTCATTGTTTTTATCTAATATCTAGAATAAAAAAGATTTGATGAGTGCAAATGAAGCTCATTTATGTTGTTTTAGATAATGCCCAAGTTTGTAATTTATAATACGGCACAGTGAAAGGTTTAGGCACAGGAAAAGCTAGAATTAAATTCCCACTTCACTAGGACAATCAATTAGTAACTTGGAAAAAGCAGAAAATGTATATAACTTACCTCATTAATGATAAATAGCTTGTCTTTCCTGTCCATTTTGGTATCTATAACACAAATAGCATATTTTAACCTTATAAACTTCAACAATATGGAATTTATTTTATAGATACTGAAGACTCCCCTGAAATTAATATTCAAAATAACTGCTTTGACACATTTAGTTTACAGGTGATGCTTATTTCAAATTTTTCCATGTGTTTGTTTCCTTAACACCTCTGTCTTCAAAGCAGTTTATTGGGAAGAATTGCACATCTGCAAAAATGGAACATGTTTTGTGTTCATATGTTGTTTAGCACAATGTCTGCTACTCTTGTAAGGGCAGGAAAAAAAATCATGTTAGCTGGCTTTAAGAGGAGGCAGCAATATATCTATGTAACTACTGATTCACTCAGTTTTGTTCCAACTCCAACATCTTTTCAGAAACTAATAATTCCTAGTGTACAGATTTGTGCAGGGTTCCATAAATTGAAGTAATAACCACGTAACTAAAAAGACAGAGAGGTAATACAAGCAAAATCACAAACTACCTGCTTTAGAATGAGGCATTAATGTACGCAAATCCTTCATTAGATGCCTTGTCCTAAAATTTATTCCTCTGGAAGAAAAAATGAGGACCCTCTCTTTGTTCTTCCATTTACCCTGGAAAACAGAAGCATTAGCATGATCCAGTTAGGAGGAAACCAAATTAAAACATTTAACCAAAGCAGTGGTTTACAATAGTGGCAAATATCTGTAGCTCGGGTATAGGATTGTTCTGTGGTTAAGCAGTGGTTAAATATGCTAACAATAAGTTATTGTATGTAGAAGAAAACAGTGCAATATGACAAAGTATCTGACAGAGGTTCATCTCAAACTGATGTCCCCAATTTTACAGATTTTTTAAAAAAACCAATAATTAAGTATGGGCATGCCCTAACCTTGGCAACTTTTAAGATGTGTGGAATTCATGCTGAATGGGGAATTCTGGGAGTTGAAATCCACTCATCTTAACATTGAGAAACACTGCTCTAACCTTAGAAATACTTTTCAAAGCCAAAGTCCAAGACTCTTAAGGCAGTGTTTCTCAACCTTGACAATTTTAAGGCATGTGGACTTCAACTCCCAGAATTCCACAGCCAGCGTTGCTGGCTGTGGAAATGCCTTAAAATTGTTAAGGTTGAGAAACACTGCCTTAAGGAAACCTCCAATCACATGAAAATTTACTCTTACTACTAAAGGAGGATACTCGCCAATCCCTCCACACAGCCTCCCAAGTTGTTATAGGCAGAACTACCTTGGTCAAAGACACCATCGCAAAAGGTAGGATA